TACTACTACTCCTTCCGACAGTATTTAAGTCTCCGCACTGTCGCTTGATCTTCAGATAGTTCCTGACTATGGAACTGAACTTCTCCAGGCCGAGGGACTGACAACCTCAAGTTCTACGACTTTAAGGGTGATGGACTGATTACATCGTCTTCTCTACTGTTCCTGCCTACTTTCTGTATTCGACTGAAGAAGCCTACTGTGTAGGCGAAACGTTTCGGAATAAAGTTGCCTAACTGTTGCCTGTGTGTCTTACCTACCAACCTGTCGGTATTGTATACCATTTCGATGTTCATCTTGTCAGACACTGCAACACATAGCATCTTGATACAGAAAACACCTTGGACAAACTTTTCAAGTGAGAATTGTTGGATCTGAGAGGGACCTGACCTTTCAGGGTTACATTCTCACTACTACTACTACTCCTTCCGACAGTATTTAAGTCTCCGCACTGTCGCTTGATCTTCAGATAGTTCCTGACTATGGAACTGAACTTCTCCAGGCCGAGGGACTGACAACCTCAAGTTCTACGACTTTAAGGGTGATGGACTGATTACATCGTCTTCTCTACTGTTCCTGCCTACTTTCTGTATTCGACTGAAGAAGCCTACTGTGTAGGCGAAACGTTTCGGAATAAAGTTGCCTAACTGTTGCCTGTGTGTCTTACCTACCAACCTGTCGGTATTGTATACCATTTCGATGTTCATCTTGTCAGACACTGCAACACATAGCATCTTGATACAGAAAACACCTTGGACAAACTTTTCAAGTGAGAATTGTTGGATCTGAGAGGGACCTGACCTTTCAGGGGTTACATTCTCACTACTACTACTACTCCTTCCGACAGTATTTAAGTCTCCGCACTGTCGCTTGATCTTCAGATAGTTCCTGACTATGGAACTGAACTTCTCCAGGCCGAGGGACTGACAACCTCAAGTTCTACGACTTTAAGGGTGATGGACTGATTACATCGTCTTCTCTACTGTTCCTGCCTACTTTCTGTATTCGACTGAAGAAGCCTACTGTGTAGGCGAAACGTTTCGGAATAAAGTTGCCTAACTGTTGCCTGTGTGTCTTACCTACCAACCTGTCGGTATTGTATACCATTTCGATGTTCAACATAAAAGGTGATATGAAAAGGACCTGGAAAACCCTATCTGAAATTCTAGGAACAAAAAAGATATACAAAAACAAAACCCTCAAATTAACAAAATCAGATGAACCCCTACTCCCACCAACTGAAACAGCAAACAGACTCAATGTTTTCGTCTCCACCACAGGAAAGAATCTAGCGAGCAAAATCCCAAGTTCAAACACCCGTCCATCAGACTACCTCACAGGCACCTACCTGAATACACTATTCCTAGCTCCAACCAACCCAACAGAAGTCTCGCTCATCATCAACACCCTTAAAAAATAAGGTAGGAGATATAAATAACTTACCACCTTTTATGTACAAAAAAAGGTTCTGAAGTACTTTCACTAATTATTGCAACACTCTTTAACAAATCCATCAAATCCTCTACCTTCCCATCAATTCTCAAGATAGTGAGAGTCACCCCGATCCACAAAGGAGGAGATCAAACAGGCTTGAATAACTATAGACCAATATCTAACTTACCTATGCTCTCTAAAATCTTTGAAAAATTAATTCACAGGCAGATCTATTCCTACCTCGTCTCACACAACATACTCAATCCCTGTCAGTTGGGATTCAGGACTAATAAAAGCACAAATGATGCTATTATACACATGCTTGAACTAATATATACTGCTCTCGAGAAGAAAGAAGTCCCTCTGGGTATCTTCATTGATTTATGTAAAACTTTTGATACAGTCGACCACGATTTGCTGCACATTAAATTAACACACTATGGTATAAGAGGGCACTCCCTCAACTACCTAAAGTCATACCTTAGTAACAGAAGCCAATATGTGTACACAAATGGAGCTAACTCTTCCACTCAACCAATTACAGTCGGGGTCCTTGGCCCACTCCTCTTTCTCATTTACATCAATGACCTACCAAATGCATCACAACCACTCAAACCCATATTTGCAGATGACACTACATACGTCTTCTCTCATCCAAACCCAGTCATACTGGCCAACACTGTTAATGCTGAATTGCAGAAAATAACTACCTGGATGATGACAAATAAGTTTACTCTCAATACTGACAAAACCTATTTCATTCAGTTTGGAAACAGAGCCACAAATGTTCCACTTAACATAGCGCTAAATGGATCACCCATCACAAGACTCAGAGGGAAAATTCCTAGGAATCCACCCTGACAGTAGCCTCAAATTCCAGACACATATACAACAGATTTCCAAGAAAATCTCTAAGAGAGTAGGCATACTATCAAAGATACGGTACTATGTTCCACAATCAGCTCTCCTTGCACTCATCTGCCCTTATCTCACCTATGGAATGTGTGCATGGGGATCAACAACATTAAATCACCTAAGACCATTAATAACCCAGCAAAAGGCTGCAGTCAGAATGATAACAAATTCCCACTCCAGACAGCATACTCAACCAATATTTAAGTCTAAAACTACTCGCCGTAAAGAACATGCATACTTATTCTTATGCCTACACTTAAACATAAACCCTCCACTCAAACTTCTCCTCACCAACCTTAACAGGACACACGACCATAACACAAGACAGATCACTTTTCGATATACCCCGTGTCCATATCACACTGTGTAAGAACTCTATGCACATAAAGGGCCCCAAAACTTGGAATACATTACCAGAAAATACTAAAGTAACGAGGTCTGAACATCAATTTAACATTCTTCTCAAAAACCACCTACTCACCCTAAACTAAATACTCAATACTTAACTTTACCAAAAAATCACCCAATTGCCTAAATCTAAACACTTCAAAATTAGATACCCAAAGTTCATACATTACTTAATACTACACTGTAGGATAAATACCTGCCCAAAACAATGCTGCCTTACACCAAATTGTAGCATTCTCACACTGTAAACTACTTTCAACAATGCTCACTGTGATATTCCCATAATATAATTTAAATATTTACTATTGATTTTAGGTAGTAGGTTGGTAGACAGCAACTGCCCAGGGAGGTACTACCATTCTGCCAAGTGAGTGTAAAACAAAAGCCTGTAATTGTTTTACATGATGGTAGGATTGCTGGTGTCCGTTTTTCTGTCTCATAAACATGCAAGATTTCAGGTACGTCTTGCTACTTCTACTTACACTTAGGTCACACTAAACATACATGTACGAGCATATATATACACACCCCTCTGGGTTTTCTTCTATTTTCTTTCTATTTCTTGTTCTTGTTTATTTCCTCTTATCTCCATGGGGAAGTGGAACAGAATTCTTCCTCCGTAAGCCATCCGTGTTGTAAGAGGTGACTAAAATGCCGGGAGCAAGGGGCTAGTAACCCCTTCTCCTGTATAAATTACTAAATTTAAAAAGAGAAACTTTCGCTTTTCTTTTTGGGCCACCCTGCCTTGGTGGGATACGGCCAGTTTGTTGGAAAAAAAAAATTTACTATTGATATACACAACCTACAAAATACTTTCAACTTGTTCCAATGTAATATCCCCAGATTGTAATTTGAGTAAACTTACTGTCAGCTATAAATAAAAACAGATGCACAACTTAAAAAAAGACTATGATTAATTTTATTATTATTATCATTATCACACTGGCCGATTCCCACCAAGGCAGGGTGGCCCGAAAAAGAAAAACTTTCACCATCATTCACTCCATCACTGTCTTGCCAGAAGGGTGCTTTACACTACAGTTTTTAAACTGCAACATTAACACCCCTCCTTCAGAGTGCAGGCACTGTACTTCCCATCTCCAGGACTCAAGTCCGGCCTGCCAGTTTCCCTGAACCCCTTCATAAATGTTACTTTGCTCACACTCCAACAGCACGTCAAGTATTAAAAACCATTTGTCTCCATTCACTCCTATCAAACACGCTCACGCATGCCTGCTGGAAGTCCAAGCCCCTCGCACACAAAACCTCCTTTACCCCCTCTCTCCAACCTTTCCTAGGCCGACCCCTACCCCGCCTTCCTTCCACTACAGACTGATACACTCTTGAAGTCATTCTGTTTCGCTCCATTCTCTCTACATGTCCGAACCACCTCAACAACCCTTCCTCAGTCCTCTGGACAACAGTTTTGGTAATCCCGCACCTCCTCCTAACTTCCAAACTACGAATTCTCTGCATTATATTCACACCACACATTGCCCTCAGACATGACATCTCCACTGCCTCCAGCCTTCTCCTCGCTGCAACATTCATCACCCATGCCTCACACCCATATAAGAGCGTTGGTAAAACTATACTCTCATACATTCCCCTCTTTGCCTCCAAGGATAGTTCTTTGTCTCCACAGACTCTTAAGTGCACCACTCACTCTTTTCCCCTCATCAATTCTATGATTCACCTCATCTTTCATAGACCCATCCGCTGACACGTCCACTCCCAAATATCTGAATACATTCACCTCCTCCATACTCTCTCCCTCCAATCTGATATTCAATCTTTCATCACCTAATCTTTTTGTTATCCTCATAACCTTACTCTTTCCTGTATTCACCTTTAATTTTCTTCTTTTGCACACCCTACCAAATTCATCCACCAATCTCTGCAACTAGTTTAAAGTAGTCTGTAAGCCATTAAATTTAGTCTGCCCATAATGCTGTGGCATGATAGTGGCTCTCTTTGTACTGCAACTCATTATTGTAATTACACAATCTCAATGTAAACTTGCAAGGAAATAAAAGTTTGTATTTGTATTTGTATAGTTGTGGAGTTCAATCATCGATTATCCTACACAGCTTCAAGATACAATATTGTATGCTACACTAGTGTCACTGTAAGGTGTTTAAAAACTAAAGGTGAAATTTAAAGACTTGTTGTATATGTGATGCTTCAGATATTATAGCCTGTTTCCCTGCCAAGATAACATCCCTGATATTACTTGATAAACTCACTGTATAGAGGCCGTGATCCAGAAGAATAATCTGGGCTTCATTGTTAACTTTCTTAACAAGTACATTGCCTGGGTGTGGGTCACAATGAACATAACCATTAACAAATATCATTTCCGAATACAATTTACCAATCTTTTCAGAAACCTCGTTCGTATTTATGCCTTGAGTAATCATATAGTTGCGGTCATTGACTTGACCTCCTTCACAAAACTCCATCACCAGAACTCTGTCAGTTGTGAGGCTCCAGTCAATGGCAGGGATCTGTAAAGAAAGATGCAAATATTATTAGAAACAAATGCTTAGGTTACTGACCTTCTTCACAGTATCTATCAACTGAAGAAAGTCGGGTAGAAGGGAAAAGGTTTTCCCACAGCAGCAGTCCATTTCTCTTCTTAAACTTGCTTCAGAATCTGATTATGTCCTTTGAACTGGATATTTTGACTATGACTTTTTTTTTACCTATTTAACCCCTTGACTGTCGCAACCCCCAATCCTGAAGTGTCTCCTAGTGTCACAAAATTTAACCCTTTCAGGGTCCAAGGCCCAAATCTGGAGTCACGCACCAGTGTCCAAGAATTTTCAAAAAAAATTTTTATTTTTTCTTATGAAATCGTAGAGAATCTTTTTGTGAAGGTAATAAAACAAAAAGTACGAAATTTGGTGGAAAATTGACGAAATTATGCTCTCGCGAATTTTGATGTGTCAGCGATATTTACGAATTGGCGATTTTGCTGACTTTGACTCCCATTTTAGGCCAATTACATTATTCCAATCAACCAAATTCTTAGCTATTTCACTAGTATTACTTCTATTCTATCGATTGAGCACAAGAAATCGCCAAGTCAACTGTTTCAACTACAAAATAAAGTGATCGGAAATTGTTAATTTGGCCAATTTAACACAAAGTTCAAAATATTCCAATTTTCAAAATAGGGTCCAGAATAAACAATGTAGGCATTCCTGGCACTAAACTAACATTTCCCCTGTTCATTAGTTATGTTTTGAGGCTTTACAAATAAATTCCATTTTGATTTTTTATTCACATAATGAATTTTTATTCACACCAAAAAATAGAAGATTTACTGTTATGCAATACTGTAATAATTGTATAAATATCATCACCATATTTGTGAATGTATATCAGACCCACCAGCTGACGTGTATTAGACGTGTGAGGTCGTTTGTTTACTCTTGAATATCGGCAAAAATTTAACATTTCCGCTACTTTGAGCTCAGTTTCAAGCCATTTCCAGTACTAAAACCAATCAAAATCATCTCTGTTTCTGTAATATGTCTTCCATTCTATCAAATGAGACCAAGAAATCGCAAATACAACTATAAAAAACATACGAAAAAACACTGCAAAGTTGCCGTTTTAATCGAAAAATCATGATTTCAGTTTTTTTTCTCTCATTGTACACAGCGTGCTGCAGGATCTGTTTTATGTGGTGCACACATACCACATAGATGTATTCTCTCATATCTAGGCCCAAATGTACCACTCACAGATTATCAGAGTGAGCTGAGCTCATGGCGTAGATCTACGGTTTGGACACTCACCGTAAAGCCGTAGATCTACGGGACGGACCCTGAAAGGGTTAAAAAAAAAAAAAAAAAAAATTTCTTATGAAACAATAGAGAATCTTTTCCCGATTGTAATGACAAAAAAAAAAAAAAAACGAAATTTGATGGAAAACTGACGGAATTACGCTCTCCTGAAGTTAGCGACCTCGGCGATATTTACAAATCGGCGATTTCGCCCACTATGAGCCCTATTTTCAGCTAATTCCATTGTTCCAGTCGACCAAACTCATAGCTATTTCTTTAGAACTCCATTTTTTCTATCGATTGAGTACAAGAAACTGCCCATTTACCGATTTCAACTACCCAATAACGTGGTCAGAAATTTGCAATTTGGCCAATTTCATGAAAATTAAAAAATATGACAATTTCAAAATAAGGTCCAGAATGAAAAATCAACATTCCTGGTCTAAAATAACATTTTCTTTGTTCACATCACGTCCCAGGCCCCTCTGATTTTTTTGCTTTCTATTTTGAATTTTTATTCAAACAAAAAATAAAGATCTATGTTAGCAACACTGCAATACTGTAATAATTTGTACAGATAATGTCAACCCATTCAGACTCATATTAGAAGGGCAGTTGACATTTTTTTGGACAATGCATCATTTGTTTGTTTTTGAACATCAGCATAAATCAAAATTTCCCTACTTTGACCCATTTCCGGGTTTTCTTTTTATAGAAAACCCCAATCAAAATCACCTCTTTTTCTATAATTTTTTCCATTCTATCAAATGGAACAAGAAAATGAGAATCAACCATAAATACACATGAAAATGACCAAAAAGTGGGCATTTTAATTAAAAAATGTCGGATTTTTTTTTTTTCAAATTATGCACTGCGTGCTGCAGGTTTTTTTTTATTTGGTGTACACTGACCACACAACCCTTCTCTCACGTGGGCCTCCCATTTCCCCCTGCTTGTTTTGAAGCCGCTAGAATTTATAGTATACAGTGGGCCCCCCCCTTAAAATATTAATCCGTTCCTGAAGCTCATCGAAAGGGCCGAAATTATCGTTACCAAATTTTTTCCCCCAAAAAAGAAATAAGGGAAATAAAATTTTATCCTTCCTAACACCCAAAGTATAAAAAAATTTTTTTACCACATGAAATATAATTTTAATACACAAAACTAAAGAAGACATGCAAAATTTCTACTCTACTAAGAATAGAATACATGACACTTACCTTTATTGAAGACTGGTGATGTTGATGGGATGGGGGAGGGAGATTTGGGAAGTTGTTGTTTAGAAGGGGAATCCCCTTCCATTAGAACTTGAGGTACAACCCTTTTCCAGGGTTACTTCCTTCTTTTAATGCCACTAGGACCAGCTGAGAGTCATGGACCTCGTCACCAACAAATCTGCCCCTAAGCTCTGAATCCCCCCGTTTCCTTTAAGACTTTCCAAAAAAAGGGCCATAACATTGTCATTTACAGGTTCCAACACGGCTTGCTAGCTTGTCAGGGTGTTTTCCCCATCGAAAAAGGTTTGGGGCATTTTGACACATTTCCTTAATCTTTTTTTAAATCCATACTAATTCTCACCCTTTTTTCCCACATGGAGGGACTAGATTTTTCTTGGGGTCCATGGTGACTTTTTTTTGCACTTACAAACACAAAAAAACTGGGATAATGTGAAATGACCGAAGATGCGTAATGGACTGCATGGCTGGCTTGTAAAAACTGGGGCTGGGCCACCTGGGACTTCCTGGACGAATCACAAAGGTGATTTTTTATCGGAGGGGGGCAAAATTTTTGGTTCAAATGCTTCAAATGGCGGATTTAAAAAGTAAGCGATGAGTTCGTAAGGGGGGGGGTCCATGTATAACTCAAACACGGGACCTCATAAGACGTTATAAAGACTGAAACAGTCAAAAAAAGGGGTTAACAGTTTTTAAACTACTGAACGCATTTATCTTTTTAGTAGTACCTTTTTTTTTTACCCGTTTTTAAACCTTGCATCTCCCCCGAATCTACATTAAGATAACCCCTGCTTTTTTTGATTTACATCTTAAAACACAGTGCCCTAAATAGCTGTGAGTGTAAATTTTTTGGGTTAGCTTTGAGGAATGTGCGTGAGGTGGGTGCGCACCATATAAAAAAAATCCTACCCCCTGCAATGAAAGATGGGGAACAGCTAAACCCTTTACATTGTGCTTGGTTTTAAAAAACAATTTACAGGTGTTTTTTTGGGTGGTTTTCAAAGGGTTTTTTTTTTGCTGTTTCTTGGGATCAAATTTATAAAAGGGAAAAATTTTAGTGAAAAGAGATGATTTTTGTTTTTTTTTCAGATCAAATGGCTTGAAATTGGCTCAAATTGGTGGAATTTTAAAATTTTTTTGATTTTCCCAAGAAAGGGTAGGGGCCTCCCAACTACCCCGATTTTGGGTTTTTATAGTTTTCATCAATTATTGGGGTGGCATACACCCTGCCAAACATTCTTGGATATACTATGTATTTTATTAGCCAAGAAAATTGGTAAAACTTTTACTTTGTGTTGTGTGTGATAGATTCTAAACAGGGCAAAAGTTTTGTAGGAAAGGCCTGGGGGGAAATGATTAAAGAAAAGAGGTAAAAATTGTTTTAGTGGCCAGAATGCCCCCAAAAAGGTTTATTTTGTACTTGTTTTTAAATTTGGGGTTTGCGAATGCGAATTTTTTTTTTAAAAAAAGAAATTAATATTCCGTACTTTACAGAAATTTTTTATACTGCTGAGTAGTTTTTTGGTGCTTAACTGATAAACAAAAGGCTATTAAACAAAAAAGTTAGGAACTGGATCAGAGTGAGCAAGGAATTTTCCTAAAACAGGGTTCAAACTGAGCAAAATTAGTGATGGGTAAATTGCACCTTGACCCTCAATTCACCCCCCGCTAATTCCAAATTTTCCATCAAATTTTCTCAATTTTGTGCTAATACCTTGAGAAAAAAAGATTTCTGCTATTTTAAAGATAAAAAACATACAAATAACCTGCCTAAAAAATATTATGACAACATTACGGTTGGGCTTAGCATCTAACTAGAAAACACAAAGTGAAAAAGGAAGGGGAGCCAGAACTATATCGGGGGAAGGGGGGACCAGGGTAATGAATGGTAGTAGTAGTATAGTAGTAGTATCTGGTCCCCCCCCTTGACTTCTGTGTTACTCGTTAAATGATTCACCCCAGATTGAAAGGTCAGTATTTTTCCTTGTTATTTTATTTTTCAATGTCCCACCGTATCCCATGAGGTGGGGTTGGCCAAAAAGAAAAAAATTGTAATATAAAGGAGAACGGTTACTCCCCCTTGCCCCCGCATTTATTCCCCTCTTACGACACCATGGCTTCGGAGGAAAAATTTCTGCTCCATTCCCCATGGAGATAAGGGGAAAAAAACAAAAACAAGAACTTAAGAAAATAAAAGAAAACCCAGAGGGTGTGTATAAATACGCTTGTACATTATGTGTAGTGTGACCTAAGGTAAGTAGAATAGCAAGATGTACCTAAAACCCTTGCATGTTCTGGACAGAAAAAATGGACCCCAGAAATCCTCCCATATGTAAAAAAATTTACAGGCTTTCGTTTTACACTCCTTGGCAGGACGGTACAATAAGGGTGGATTGCTGATGTCTTTTTTTTTTTGTCTCATAAACATGAAAGTTCGGGTACGTCTGCTACTTCAAAACAAACCATACCAAGGGGGGG